GGGTGGATGTAGCTCACTAGCAGCCTCTCACCAACGACCTATCCACGTCATCATTTACCCAGAATGCCTTGCATGTAAATAAAATGGCCCCATCCGTGTAATATATTTTTAAACTTTTAGTTTAAAAATTATAAAAACTAAACAGCCTACAGTATTTTTACAGTCTTTATTTTACAGTTAAAATAGGTTTATTAAATACAGTCTAACGTTACAACTAATCATGGATCCCGTTAATAAAAACTAACTGAACTGTGCAGGCATATTTTCAAATCTTATTATTTAGTCTAAACTGAAAAGTGTTTAACCCTGATGAATTTGTGAGAAAGATCCTGTTTTAAGGCTGGAAGGAGGATTAATGATGTAGCTAACAGGCTACTAGCATGATTATTGATCACATCAAACCAAAGATTAAGTCAAGTTTGGTCAAAAGGACCTTTTCACATTTTCAGATTCCTGCTTTAAAAGCTACTTTTTGATTCCTTGATCATCCTGATATAATGAGCTGTTCCAGAGATATTACTTCATTTGTCTTGTTAAGCATGATAATACATAAATATTTGGTCTGAATCCTGTTTTTATGTGATGTTAAGGAGGAATTTCTGATGTCATTATAAAGAAGAACATTATATATTATTTGAGAGATTTCCCAGCTGGAAAGAAACAAAAGCTTTGCTAGCTCACAAAGAAAATACAGAAATTTTAAAACGTTTTTGCTCAAAATCAGTTTTTTTTTGTTGCTAATGCTCAAAATAGTGCTGTAGAAATTTTTTTAGGATTATAATTCTGACAGTTTATTCAAACGATACATTGATAAGGCATTTATTTGTTATATTTTCACAAAACGCAATTATTACAAATGTTTTAAGCAAAACACTATCTCCCTTTTTCTCCACCTCCACTTCAGGATCTAATTCTCGTTTCGATGTGATGGGGCAAGAAAACTGTTAAAACTAGGCTTTTTCTGTTGTGAGTATAAAAAAACAAACAAAAAACATAATCTCATGTTTGGTCAAAGCTTCAAAGAGCTGCAGGTTGCACAGCCCTGGACTAGACCATCAGGTCCGTTTAAAGGCGGTGGATTTTAGATAACTCTGAAAGGAACCAACACAAAATAAAACAAACATAATGTTGCCAGACAGTAAAATAAACAACCGTGTTAATGACGGTTTCTTTAAGGCAAAGAAATGAACCTTCTGATTAGGCCTGTCGCGATAGTCAATAAATCAATTAATTGCACGATAACTTTTTTTGAGGTCGGTAAAAAAA